ACTTTTGTGGGCCAAGCACTGTGCTAGAAAACATCCTATTTTCATATATAATCTTCATGAACATCCTTGTGAAGGGGAACATTGAAATTCAGCAATAGAAATATGTTCAGAGAAGTTATGTAACTTATGCAAGACCACACAACTAGTGAGTTTGAAAATAGGTATTCTTAATCATTTATTTAATCTGTTACATCAGTTCTTTGTAAACTTTAATGTACCTACAAAGGCAGGGTCTGAGACTCTGCATTTGTAACATGATCCCAGGTAATAGAAGTGATGGGTTAAGGAACAAAACTTAAATACTGAGGAATTTTTCATGCTGTTCTCCTTTGTGAGTTTTTATAATTCCTACAGGAAATAATCTTTTGAGATGACTAATTATTAGTCACCATACTTAAATTTTCAAGTTTCAAGAAAAAAAGTTTTTTTTTTTCAAAACAAGTCAAATATGCCCAGCTCTAATATTACATAAAGAAAGGTGGGTACATCTTTTAAAAAGAAAGTAATAGGAAGATAATTTGCTGTAAACTATGCTGTAATGACTCAATAACCTCTTTCTTTCTCCTTTATTCTCTCATGTCTTGAATAATGTGAATGAGTTCAAATTTTGGTGTGTATGCCTCATTTCCCTAATTATTGATGAAAAATTCAGAACTCTGGAGAGGCTGTTTTATATTTCTTTGATTAATACTACATCCTAACTCCTTGGAGAATTCTCCCTGGTGTGGATCTAGCTGTCATCTTCCTACCAACCTGCATTATTGCTTCTTTTTTATCACCTTTCCAGTACAGAGACAAAGAGAGAGAACCTGCTCCTGCCCCTGGTTAGAATATGCATGTAAAGGAAATATTCTTCAAGAATGCCACTTTTCCAATATTAATAATAAATTCATAAMATTAGCAGACGTTAAAAAATTGTCATTTGTTTCTTAACCAAAAATGTTAAGTTTTAATTATGCAAGAAAACTCTGAATCTATACAGCCTACATAAGCATCACACACAAAAAAACTAGAACACATAATGAGAATGTAAATATCCACACAATGATTAAAGATGGATTTTGAGGTAATGTTCACTGGCAGTAAGAAATCAATGAATTTTGAATCTATTATAAGGGTTGGTCAATAATATGTTGAGTTAATCTTCTTTCAATAAGTAAATACTTAAGCTTATGAAAAGATTTTTTTATACCAGTTATTAAATCCAGGGGTGCCTAACCACTGATCCATAATCCCAGCCCATTTTTAAAATTTTTTTTGAGACACTAAGCTACTGAGGGCTCTCTAAGTTTCTGAAACATGCTTTGAACTTGTGATTCTCCTGTCTCAGCCTTCCCAGTGGCTGGGATTTGACTTTTGAAAAGACAGAATTTAACACTCTGAATTGCAGCATATCAGAGTAATGGCTTTAGGAGAAGAGGGAAGATGACTATAGAAGCATAATCATGATCCTGTTTGATAAATTCGCTCATAAGAAACTAATGTGACCACATTGGTTTTGGCATGGCAGAGATTGAGCTCAGCCTTCTAGGGTTGGTCCTGGGAGTAGATGCAAAGGCYAGAAGAGTAGTACTCTGTCTTAGCTAAGTCCTGAGGGTAACTGCTATCTGTTGAGCTTCTTATTGTTTGCCAGAACAGTCATCCTATGTGATCTAAAATTAAGCCYCAGAAAACTCTAACAGGCAACTATTATTATCTTCATGACATAAATGAAAAAAAAAAAAAAACACAGCAGAACAAAACTAAGCACAAAATACGCCAGGAGAAATTAACTAAACTGCTGAGTTTGTAATCCAACCTAGTAAGCAGATTTGAGACTACATATTTTATAAGTTGAAGGCTTTGAATATCAATGGGGGATGGAAATTTATCTGAGCTTCCAACAAGGTAACCATGGTGGAAGATCTAGGAATACCTCCTTTTTGCCAAGAGAGCCGGCATCTGGACCTCCAGGCTCTCCTGTGTTAGAAGGAAGAAAGTGAGGAGTAGTCAAATGAGACAAGGTGAATGATAAGGAGCAGAGTTGCCTCTGATAACAATGTATTTTACCAGAAATTAAGAAGACATTATTTTTGTTGGTTCATTTATTTAGTCATTCATTTATTTCTTCATCACTCTCTCAATAACTGAAGTATCACCATAATATCCTATATTTCTGTTCTATTATATGTTACTATTGATTTTAAAGTAACTTTCTGATAAATAAGCTAGAGAAGTTAAGTAGGAAAAAACAGTACAGATTTTGTGATTACCATGTTACAGATGTAGCTTCAGACTTCAGGATGTTAAATAACGTCTTCAAAGTCACAACAGCTACTCAGTGTGAGACACACAGTTTTACTTTTTGTTTCAAATTGAATACTCTGTTCATGATTTCTGCCTGGTTAAGAGGCAGAATACTCAGCTCAGGTGGGAATGATATAAAGATAATTGTATACTGGTTCCTGTGGAGAATGGTGAATTGAATCAAGGACTCTGACTGCCTCATGGCTTCATTTGGGCTGGGAACTTCCTGTGCAAAGGTGTAGGTCAAGATGTCCCAGTTGCTACTGTGACACTGGCCTGGGGAGGCTCTGTGCTAAGGCAAAGAGCTATATCAGTCTGGACCTTGAGATTAGGCACCTACTCCAGGGGATAGAGAATTCTGGGCATGACAAGATAGCCTCCTTGTCTCCCAAGTTTCACTACAACCTTCAAGTCTGTCTGCTTTACTGCAACTTTCTCACGAATAATTTTTTTGATGATAAGATCTATTATAATAAATGTGCTGAGCTAGATCTGGGTCATTGTTCCTCCATCAGAAGACAGTGTCCCACCTGGTCCCAGCTTTCTCTTTGTGTTTGTCTTTTTTCAATCCCCCCATCACCCCTTGCCGGTTTCTAAATTAACAGCTATGCTGGGCACGGCAGATTCCAATATCTGGAGATAATTAAATTCAAAGATATCTTAAAATTGGACATACTGAAAGGAGGAATAGTGATTGGTAATGTTTTATTTTTCTGAAATTGTATAAAAAGGACTCTCTGGTTTTTGATGCTATTTTCCTGTTTTATTTTTCAATTGACATTAAATTATACATGTTTACCATGTACATTGTTTAGAAATCTATATATTTCTATATTATGTATACATATATTCACCACTTTCTCCCTCTCTCTCTCCCCCACCTCACACACATACATACACACACATTATAGAATGACTGAATCAAGTATATTAAAACAAGTATTACCTCAAATGGTCATTATTTTTGTTTCAGAAGACTTAACATCTGTTCTCAGCATTTTCACATACATGCTATATTATTATTAACTATAGTTACCATGCTGTGCAGTAGAGCTCTTGAACTTTTCCTTCCTGTCCAACTGAACTTTTGTATGCTTTGACCAGCTCAGAGCCACCGGTAATCACTGTTCTGTTCTCCATTTCTCTGAAATCCATTTTTTTTTTTTTTTAGTTTCCAGATGAAAGAGAGATTATGCAGTATTTATCTTTGTGTGCCTGGATTATTTCACTTAACATTTAAGTCCTGCAGGTTCCTCCATGTTATTTCAAATGACAGGGCTCCCCTTCTTTTTCAAGGCAAATAGTACTTCATTGGTTGTCTATATCACATGTTCTTCATCTGTTCATCTGCTGATGGACACAAAAGTTATTCCATATCGTTGCTTTCATGACGAGTCCTGCAATAAATGACATACTGTTTTATTTCCTTTGAATAGTAGGACTACTGTATCATATTTGTGTGCATGATTTTCACCTTATCCTTTTAAAATATTTTGTTTTTTTTATGTTTTTCCTTCCCATCCTCTGGATTTCATAGCGATACATACTTGCTTACCTGTCTTCTATTTTTCTCAGTGCTTTAACCTTTTCTCTTGCCAGTTCTTATCTTGAGACTACACGGTGTACATTTTCCAATTTAATTTTATCTATATAACTCAATAGACAATATTTTAACAGTAATTTAATTGAACTCAGAGTGATCTTGGAATACTAAGACATTAAGTTACATGTTCATATGCAGAAAAACATTTTCCATTCCTATATTTTCTATGACCGGTTTTATAGGAATCTGAAATGAATCCTGAGTAAATGGTAATGAGCTGAATGAAGATGAATAATATTTAATAAAGTATTTAAAACCTCAAATGAAAATAGGTGACATCAAACTTATTTATGAGAAAAATTTCCCAATCTGACCATATTGTGAACATTAAAAAAATTATAACACATGACATTTTACTTGTATCTTCATTTATTATTGGTTCTGGAATAGTCAAGGAAAACATGCCTCTAGCCATTTCAAAAGAAGTAATTAAAAACCAGTAACACATATAATCACACATAAGTAGGTGATTTCTAAATATAACTCTTTCTTGAATAAATATTGCTTACATATTTTGGATTTTTCCCTTTTTTTGGTATTAGAACATATTAAATGTAATTAAAATGCCATGTATCAAAACATAATATGGTTATATTCAATTTTTATGTTTTTGTATAACAGTTAAAGTAAATAAAAAGAAAAAAATAAATTTTAAAGCATCTTCAGATTAAGCTAAATACCAAGTCCTTATTTTGCACTTAAAATTTTTATTCCATAGAAATATTTTGTTCAATTAAATGAAAATGAAGACTTTGCACAGGAAAATGGTAGTCTTTTAAAATAAATTATGTATTATTTCAACAAATTACTTAATTTATTTTTAAATACATTTATAAAATTCTTTTGTGACAGGTGTATGAAATTTAAAATATAAACTTTTATCATTTTCAAAATTTCAAGGCTGGATTCACAAATGCTTAATTGTTCATTTTTTTTTTTAGAATTATTATCATGGTCTCTATAGAAACTATGTTCTTTCCTTAAAAGGTTATTTTTACTTAACAAAAGAATGAAATATTAGTAAAATAAAATGAACATGCATTTAATCTATTATTTAATGATAAGATCATTTTCCTTTCAACKGATTCCTTTTTTTCTTTTCTTTCCATAGGCTGAATTAAATAATCCAATCAATCCCTTCACTAGATATAGTACAAAAGTTTCGTTGAATGTAGAGGAAGAAGTTTTCTCCAAATATATTGGATGGAGAATTGCCAACACACTTTCCAAACTGTTATTTCCCTCTCTTGATGCCCATGTTCTCCCTTCAGAGAAACGAGTGGTCAAACAGGATAAAAAGAAATACTTTTGTAAAAAACAGGAGTCCATGAAGAAAAGATTCCTACGTTTTACTGTAAGGTAAGTGAAACACTATTAAATACTTTGAAACAATATTAAAATACTTTGAGATCAAAGTCACAGAAATTGTAGACAATTGTGTATCACATTATTGAACTCAATTACTTTCATGTTATTTTGAACTCAGTTTGTTCTTCAATTCATGGCTCCATTACCTCCTAAATATTCTATACTGATCAAGTTGCTTTGAGCAAGTTATTGCCTTTTCAGAAATTGTTTCTTCATGTTTAAAACAGTTATTATGTAATTCAGATCAATGTTAAAGTAATTCTTATGTGGAAGTCTATCAGATTAAAAACAAGAATATCATTCAGCATTCCAAATTTTAAGACTATATTCATTTTACATGTGTGTTTATGTGCATGTATGTACATGTGTTCAATATATATTTAATGTATTTAACTTAGAGTCTTAAATACAGTGAACATTCAATAAGTGATAGGTATGAGGATAATATTTTTAATGTTTAAACCCCTTAAAAATTTTTAAAATTTACTTCTAATGACTTCATAAAGCCACAGACTTAGAAAAGATTAAAGGGGATAATTTTCAAATTTATTTGCCATTTCTTCAATGGTAGATTGACTTCACATTCTTAGGATTCTTGTTACCAGTTACCACACTTAGATCTTTCCCAGACTGACACTGTTTGACAGATTTAAATGTAGATGAGGAATCACTCTGTTGATAKATAACTGAAGCTACATGTTTTACAATTTTAGATCTTTCAGTAAAGTTTTAATCAAGACAAAGATTTTTTTAATTTGTTATTTAAACTAAGTCACTCTTAAGAGTATGTTTTGTTGTTCATTTTTTTCTTATTAAGAGCACAATCAAACCAGATTTCTTTGTATTTTTAACAATTCATTTTTTATGTTTTGATTGTCTGCAAAGCAGTATGTTCCTGGTAGATTATTATCGAGAGTTGTCAGATCATACTTTGATCTCAACATTGCCATTCTTGGTTTCTTTTCATTGATTTTATCAGCTATATCTTGTGTATGTCTCAGATATTACATTTGATTGTCTTTGTCTTTGTGTCATCTTATCATCTGAGTTTTTTTTTTTTGCCTAAACTAAAGGAAATTTGACTCCAGTGAATAAACTTAGTTGGTTTAAATAGTTGGTGATCATGTATCTATAAATTTGGATTTATGCATTTCATTCCCGCTTCTGAAAATATACTTTACGTACTTATTTTTATTTATTTTTCACTTAACCAAAACATCATCTACTTTTAAAACCAAATATATTGTTTTTGCCTCCAAAAGTGAGAAATAATCTGTATGAATATAAAATTCTTGGTAAAAATTCTCTTACCCTTTATAATTATCACCACAATATTGTATTGTGCTTGAAGAGTCTGATGTATTATATGATTTTTCTTTTTTTTGTGGGATCCCCTCCTCTTTTTCCTATAACAAAAGGTGTAGCATATTCTCTCTGTCAAGCATTTTTATGAGAAATGCTTTAGAATTCTATATTCTACTTTTATGTGGTGCTGAGGATCGAACCCAGGGTCTCACACGTGAGAGGCAGGCGCTCTACCACTGAGCCACAGCCCCAGCCCTAGAATTCTATATTCTAAAGACATAACATGAAAGCCTCCCTCTTTACTTCATTGCCTGCTTCCGCTCCATCCCTCTCCATCTAGGTCACATCATCAGTAATTTCTCGGTGTCCTTTCAGGGACACTAGAATGCATATATAAGAAAGTGAGAGTCTTTTTTAAAAGTTCTCTCCATTTTTACATGAATGTTAACATACCAAACTTGCTATTTGGCATCTTAAAATTTTAATATAAACTCATACCTACAGCTCTTTCCATTGCAAACATAGGCGATTTGCACATTTTTACTTTTGATACAATATTATGTTTTTCTTAGTGTCTGTGTACCCTAATTTAATTAACCAGTTCTCTATTTGGGTTGTTGATTGTCTACAAATACAGGCAGAGCCACAAAGATAACCTTTACATATGTCTTTTTTTACATGCAAGATAAATTCTCAAAAGAGATGATTTCTGGGTCAAAATCTGTATGCCTTCAAAATGTTAGAATTTTCCAACTTGCCTCTCAGAGTACTTGTGCAAATTTATATCTCCAGCAGAAATGGATGTGAATGCTTGCTTTTCTACACAGGGTGTTGATAAACATTTGGGCTTTGACGATCTGAGATGCAAAATATAGTTTTTAAATGTAGTCTTAATTTTTATTCTTTAGGATGAGTGGTTTGAACACCTCTCATGTGTTAAGAGCCTTTTGTATTCTGTTTATTTAGAATTTAACTCATTTTTTTTACTCATTTCTTAACTGAATTTTTGTTCTTTTCACCTTGCTTTCAGGGAACTATTTATTCCTGTACATGTCACTTTGTTCATGGCAAAGGCTGTAAATTTTTACCCACCATTTTTATTTATCTTTTAATTTCATTTATAGTAATTTTTGGCATAGATTCTTTTCCTAAATAATATGGTTTGTTAATTTTCTCTATAGTTTATGGGGTTTAGGATTTTTTTTCAGTCTATTTAGAAAAGCTTTTTTGAATTTAAGACTAAAATCTTATCACTTTGTATTCTGTATTTTTAAAAACTTATTCCATAAAATACAATCATTGTTCCATCTGAAAGTTTTTTATGATGATATGATTTGGATAGGAAGTGTCCTCCAAAGGCTCAGAGCTTCAAGACAGTCCTGAATGCAGCGATGTTCAGAGGTATGGCTTTGGGAAAATGATTGGATCATAAAAGTGTTAAACTCATCAATAGACTAATTTATTGATGAGTTCGTACCTGAATGAATGTTTAGAAAGAGGAGACTGATTAAAGGAAGTAGGTCCCTGAGGGCCTTGGTACCTTCTCTCTCTCCCTTCTTCGAGAMTGCAATTAGGTAAGCAACTCTTCTCCACCAAGCCTTCCACCATGACATTCTTTGCCTCAGGCCAAAAGCAATGGATCTGGCCAACCATGAACTATAACTACTGAAACATGAGCCAAAATAAACCTTTCATTTTTTAAGTTGTTCTCAAGTATTTAGTCACAGTGACAAAAAATTGTCTAAAACTTAGTGTAAAGTATAGATCCAARTGGGCTGTTCAGTTATCCTAGGATTATTTATTGAGTTATCCATTTAACTTCACCACTTTTYTATATGTTAAATATTATCTTTTACAAAACACTAAATTCCAATTTCTTTTGTATCTAATTCTGGATTTTTAAATGCTGTTCCTTTGTTCCAAGCTATTTTTAAAGATGTTCCCAGAWTGTGACTATATAATGTATTTAAATATGTAAATGTAATTATTTTAAATATATTTTAATATAGATCAAGCTAGTTGAATATTGATTGTTTTTTCTGGATTTTTCCCTCAGCTATTGTTGTTTATTCATTTTTCATATCACTTTTCAAGGTAGTTTTTCTAATGCTAACAACTTATTCATATGTTTATATTATCTTAAAATTTTACATGAACTTTATAAAACATATATTTCCATTATTTTGAAGATTAATGTCTCCAACAGCATGATTTGTTCCTTCCATTTATTCAGAATTTTTTTTTAAATTCTGTAATACTGTTTAAATATTTTCATATATACCTTGTATTTTTTTGATAAGGTCATTGCTAAGTATTTCATTTGTTTTATTGCTAACATAATCTTTTCTCTAAATGTAGCCTCCCACAGGTTACTCCTTATATATGTTGAATGCTATTGCATTCTATAGATTAATTGTACATCCTACTACCTTACTAAGTTTACTTACTGAGATTTTTTGTCTTGATTCACAATTAGTTTCAGACAGTTTATTTTTCTTCTTTTTTAGGTATGATTGTGAATTTTAATTTTTTATCAATGTATGTTACTTATGCARAAATAACAGGTTTCATTGTGGCATATTGTACATGCATATAACATGTTATAATTTTACTTCCTTTCTTTAATGAATTTTATTTTCAGTATGCCTAGTAAAATACTAGTGAATGTTAACATTTCTCTGTCTCTGCTTTTACTAAGAAAAATTCTAGTGGCTTTAGAACTATATTTTCTCATATTCATTGAGCATGTTTATAAAAAATATTTGGGCAATGTATAGGAAACTCACTTTAGATTTGAGGACACATAGGGTGAAACTGAAGAAATGGAAAAGGATATTTCATGAAAAGTGGTAAGCAAAAGAGAGCTGGGGTAGTTTTATATATATATACATATATATGTATATATATATATAAATAGATAATAGGTAAAAACTATCAAAAAAGACAAATAAGCCATAATTTATTAGTAAAAGTATTAATCCACCAGAAAGTCATAACAACTATAATTATAGACATAATTAATATCAGAACACCTAAATATAAAAAGGAAAGGTTGATGTAATTGAAGGGAGAAAGAGAATCATATTACAGTAGTAGAAAACTTTAATATCCAACAATCAATAATTGTTAGAAGAATCAAATAGAAGATCAATATGGAAACATTGGGCTTGAACAACAGTATAGATCCAATGGACCTGACAGACATATAAAGAATATTCACATCAATAATAGCAGCATACATAGTCTTCTCAAGTGCAACAGAACTTTCTCCCAGTAGACCACATTATAAAAAGTGTTAACAAACCCAAGAAGACTGAAATCATACCAAGTTTCTTCACCAACCACAATAGGGTGAAACAACAAATCAATGGAACAAAACCAGATAATTCACAAATACTTGGAAATTACACAACACACTTAAGATACCATTGAGTCAAAAAAATAMATCAAAAAGGAAATTAGAAAACATCTTGAAAGAAACAGAAATAAATCAGCACAATAAAACTTATAGATACTGCAAAAACTTTTAATAAATACCCTCATTAAAAACGAAGAATGATCTTATATAGGTAACCTAACTTTATATCTCAAAGAGAAAGGGAAAAACAAAAAACAAAAAAACAAAAACTAAACCCAATGTTAGCAGAAAGAATAAAAAGTAAGGTTTGGGTAAAACAAAGGAAGAG